AAACTCCTGGGCTCAAGCGATCCTCCTGCCTCAGCCTCAGAAGTAGCTGGGACTATAGGTGCGCACCACCACGCCCAGCTAGGTTTTCCATTTTTTGTAGAGACAGGGTCTCGCTCTTGCTCAAGCTGGTCTCAAACTCCTGGCTTCAAGCGATCCTCCTGCCTTGGCCTCCCAGACTGTCTAGTTTTCTGAGTTTTTAATGAATGGCAGAGCCGGACATGGTAGCTCACGCCTGTAATCCTAGCACTGTCACTTGTCCAAGCCACCTGGCCACGGAGTATGCCTGGGTGGTCACAACTATGATGCTGCTTTGGGGGTCCAAGGCCAATTAGTGGGGAGACTGTTAGGTGGTGGAGGCTGGAGGTGCCAGGCTGGCCTCCTGGGGTCCAGGACATGGAAGGAAAAGCCGATGTGGTGAAATGCAGGATGAGTTCAGGACCGAACCTGCGGAGCCTGGGGGATGTCCCAGGGAGGAACACAGGTGGCAGCTGGACACCGGGCTGGGGACAGAAACCCACGTAGGATGCTGATTTTGCAGATGAACTCAGGGGCAAGGAGGACGGAAGGCGAGGGATCCAGGCCCATCCCTGGAGGGAGGAACCGGCTGTGGCCATGAGATGTATGTGTGGGTGGGGGGTCAGCCACCAGATCAAACTGAAGGGTGTCACTGTGGCCTCCACATACCTGCTGTCCCTGGTCCCATCTCACTGATCCAAGAGCCCTGAAACTGGCCTCTGAATCTCCAGCTCTTGTCCTCTTGTGGTCTGCCCCTCCGGCGTCTTCTTCTTTGGCACATTTTCTCCTTTTATGTGGCCACAGCTGAACTTCCTGGCCCAACGTCCCCTCCTGCCACTTGAGATGTCCCGAGGGTCCTCATGTGCCTCTCACTCCCCACATCCTCAACTTCTCCGTCCATTCCACAAGTTGGTTGCTGCACCTACTGTGGTGTTGAGCACTTACTGTGTGCCAGGCCACGTGCTGAGTGTTGAGGACACAGCAGTGATCTAGATAGACATAGATCCCCCACTGCCGTGTGTCCAACCCACGAGGTGGTGGGGACACAGGTAATAAACATAAATTTTATGTATAAGATCAGGGCTGGGAACAGTGGCTCACATCTGTAATCCAAGCACTTTGGGAGGCCAAGGTGGGAGGATTGCTTGAGGCCAGGAGTTCAAGGCTGCCATGAGCAATGATTGCGCCAGCCTGGGCAAGAGAGTGAGACTCCATCGTTAAAAAATAAATAAATACGTAAAATACCTGAAGGAGGTGAGGGGAACTATGCAGAGGAGAAGAGCCATCCAGGCATCAGAAACAGCAAGTGCAAAGGTCCTGCGGTAGGAGTGTAGCTGTTGAGTTTGAGAAAGGAGGCAGGTGTAGTGGAAGAGAAGAGGAAAAGGGTAAGAGGGAAAGTCAGGTAGGTGACTGTCCTTTTGTGTTTTCTCCTTCATGGCCCACACCCTTATCCAAATCCTCATCTGATTTTCTTCAATGGGCTGAGGACTGAGCCCTTGAGCTGGCCACTAGAGGCCACTCTCTCGGTGGCTCACAAGGTCACTATATTATCATCTCATGGCTGGCTCTAGGTAAGCCCTAACAGTCCTTCAAATGCCACTTTAAGGACTTTACACAAATAAAGCCAGCTCATCTTCCAACATCGTTATGAGTTACATGCACTTAAAAATTTTTCCTGTAGTCCCAGCTACTCAGGAGGCCGAGGCAGGAGCATCGCTTGAGCCCAGGAGTTCGAGGATGCAGTGGGCTATGATCAGGCCACTGCACTTCAGTCTGGGCGACAGAGCGAGACGCTGTTTCTAAAAAAAATTTTTTTTTAACCCAACTAAATGGGACCAGAGAGTATAGACTATTTTGTTGTTGTTGTTTTGGATTCTTTCCCTGGACACAATTGTTATCAAGTGTCGTCTACGTTGTTGCGTGTATTAGAGCTCTGTTTTGCACATGAGGAAACTGAGGCACAGAGAGGCGTGGCTTGCCCCGATTAGGCCAATCAGGCCCCAGTCAAGGCGGTTTCTAGGTCGGCAGCCCGCAGAGGGGCGCTGTGGTGGCCGGGAGGGCGCGGGCAGGTGTATACTCACACCTGGGCACCTGCCAGGCAGGCGGTCAGCCCTGGGACCTTGGTGGGGGCGGTCCCGGGGGCGGGGCTTCCTGGCTCTGGAGCCTCCGATAAGGGTCTGCAGGGGCTCTCGCTCGCCTGGCGGTGCGATAAGGCGGGCGCGGGGCCCCGCCAGTGGAAGGCGGGGCTTGAGATCCCAGCGCGGGGACCCGGGGATCCCGACAGGGGCCCTGGCTTGGGGCGGGGCCTGGGCGGGGCGTCCGGACGGGCCACGCCCCCTTCACCATCCGGGGGCCTGGGCCGCTAAGATGGCGGCGGCGGCGGCCACTGCGGCCCGCGCGGGGCCCGGGATTCCGGAGCCGGCGACCGAGTAGCGCCCTCCTCGGCCCCCGCGCGTCCTGCTCGCGGGGCGCCTTGGGGCGCGGCGGCCGCAGCCCCCACCCGGGCCCTCGGTCCGCCCTCTCGGCGCGTCCATGAACTCGGTGTCGCCGGCCGCCGCGCAGTACCGGAGCGGGAGCCCGGAGGACGCGCGCCGGCCCGAGTCCCGCAGGCCGCGGGGCCCCCGAGTCCCGGACCCCAACGGCCTTGGGCCCTCCGGAGCCAGCGGCCCCGCTCTTGGCTCGCCTGGCGCCGCCCCCGGTGAGCCTGACGAAGTGGACAGGTTCAAAGCCAAGTTCCTGACAGCCTGGAACAACGTCAAGTACGGTGAGGAGGGGGCTTGGAAGTCATGGGGAGGGGGAGGGTTCGAGGAAAACCAGACCCTGTCCCTGCGGATTTTTCCACCATATGTTCCCTTCCTGTGAGTCACCTGCGGGTCCTCCGCCCTGCCCGGCCCAGGGTGGACCTGGGGCAGGTCGAATGGGGCGTGTTTTCAAGCCCCGCCCATCCCCCCGTGTGACCTTGGGCAAGATCCTTTGCTTCCAGGCGCCTCCATTTCCCCCCCTCTCTGTAAAATGGGTACAATAATTAGAACTGCCTTAGTTTATCTTGAGTGGATGGTAGACACTCATGTAGCGCTTGCCAGGGGCCCCACCTCCCTGCTCAGAGAGATACTGCATAGACGCCCTAGGGCCACCCCTGAGATAGGAACCAGGATCGTGCCCATTTCACAGATCGGGGAATGGAAGCGCTGTTGCTGTCAAGCAAGTGCTTCATCTCGCTGGGCACGTCTCCTCAGGTTGGGCAGTTAAAAGCCGGACGAGCTTTAGCAAGATCTCCAGCATCCACCTCTGTGGCCGCCGCTACCGATTCGAGGGCGAGGGTGAGCTGGTCCACAGGACCAGGGTCGGGGCAGGCCCCCTGGGGGAGTGTTGCTAGTGGCAGCTAGGTGACAGTCTGCTCTTGTAGGTGACATCCAGCGTTTCCAGCGGGACTTTGTGTCCCGCCTGTGGTTCACATACCGCAGGGACTTCCTGCCCCTCCCTGGGGGCTGCCTGACCTCAGACTGCGGCTGGGGATGCATGTTACGCAGCGGGCAGATGATGCTGGCGCAGGGCTTGCTGCTGCATTTCCTGCCCCGAGGTGAGTGGTGCTGGGGGGAACGGGGTGCACTATGAGTACAGGACCAACCACACGTCAGCAGTGTTGGAATTGTTTGCAATCGGAGTTCAAAGTCACGTTGGAATTGTTTGTCATTGGAATTGTGTGTTGAGTAATTTTCTGGGGGGAGTGAGAGTTTATAAAATAAGAGTGTCAGGACTGTGCAAATTGTAGTTAATTGTAGGGTTCTAGAACATTAGAGTTGTGTATAATGCACGAATAAATGGGAACTGTGTCCTGCACACATACTAGGACCGTTTGACTTTTTACTCCCTCCCTACCAGACTGGACATGGACCGAGGGCACAGGCCTGGGTCCCCCTGATCTGTCGGGCTTGGCCTCTCCCAGCCGGTACCATGGGCCTGCCCGTTGGATGCCCCCACGCTGGGCCCAGGGCACCCCTGAACTGGAGCAGGAACGCCGGCACCGGCAGATTGTGTCCTGGTTTGCGGACCACCCCCAGGCTCCCTTCGGCCTACACCGGCTAGTGGAGCTTGGGCAGAGCTCAGGCAAGAAGGCGGGTGACTGGTATGGGCCATCGCTGGTGGCGCACATCCTCAGGTGAGGACCGCTGCAGGGAGCACGGGAGCTGCTGGGTACCCCCAGGAACTCAGGCCTTCCTCCCGCCCCCAGGAAAGCTGTGGAGAGCTGCTCCGAGGTCACACGCCTGGTGGTGTATGTTTCTCAGGACTGCACAGGTAAGCGGCTGGGAACCAAGGTCATGAGGGTCACACTCTGAGCCAATCACTGTCTCATAAGGTCCCATTCACTCTTACTCTACAAACAGTTCTAACATGTGAAAGTCTGGTCTCCTCTGCCTCATAGGGTTGTTGTGTTGATGAAATGAGTCAATAATACAAGTAGACTGGGCACGGTGGCTCACGTCTGTGATCCTAGCACTCTGGGAGGCCGAGGGGATCGCTTAAGGTCAGGAGTTTGAGACCAGCCTGAGCAAGAGTGAGACCCTGTCTCTACTAAAAATAGAAAAATTAGCCGGGCATGGTGGCGCACGCCTGTAGTCCCAGCTACTCAGGAGGCTGAGGCAGGAGGATCGCTTGAGCCCAGGAGTTGGAGGTTGCTGTGAGCTAGGCTGATGCCACGGCACTCTA